AGAATTGCTATCTCTAAGAGAACTCAAAGAAAAAAGCGAACAAATCAAGAGGCGAAAAACACGTGCAGCTTCACAAAAAGGTATAATATTGTTAATAAATAATTCTTTAAATGTTATTGCTATGGACCATCCATGATTCATTTTAAATGGGTAAATAAATAAAGTAATACATCATAATGTGTTTATTGTCTGTTTTTAGTAACGACCTTAACTTCAACTTCAAGCGAAAAGAGCGACGATACCAAAGATGACCCTTTGAGGCGTACGAAAAAGCCTTGGGGAGGTTTAGTGAAGGACATAAAACGCCGATTACCGTACTACAAATCCGATTTCATTCAAGGGTTAAATTTGCAGTGTATAGCATCTGCAATATTCATATACTTTGCCGCTCTGTCAGCAGCAATCACTTTTGGTGGTCTCATGGGTCAGTAAAACACCTCAATAGTTGTAGATTAATAAACTGATGATCCCCACCCATTTAGTGAAAAATCGCTATCATTTTTAAACATACTGACGTTTTCTTGTAATTTTTCAGCGGATAAAACGAAAAACTTCATCGGGATATCAGAAACTCTAGTCGCCACATCTGTGTCCGGTGTCATCTTCTCGCTGTTTTCTGGACAGCCATTACTGATAGTAGGAACTACTGGACCTTTATTGCTCTTTGACGAAGCACTTTTCACTGTAAGTTTGCGTATAGTGCAGTTTGATAATTTTTAAATCCCGTTTTTACGTCCAAATATCATGCTAACCCGATCGTGGATATTTGTCTTATATTTTGTAGTTTTGTCGCAGCAACGACATCGAATTCTTACCTATGAGAGTTTACATCGGCATATGGTTGGTAATCATTGCTCTTCTTGTTAGTTGCGTTGAAGGCAGTGTTCTAGTAAAAGTATTCACAAGGTTTACTGAAGAAATTTTCGCATCACTCATATCGTTAATTTACATATGGGAAAGTTTATCAAAATGCTTTAATGTAAGTATAATAATTATGGTAATTGCATGTAATTGCAACGAAATCATAGAATACATTCGCATATCAGATATGTAAATACTAAATATATTTGCAATAGTAAAATACTTATTCTTTTAAAAGGTATTCATCAAACATCCGTTGTTACCATTGAAGGAGTATTGTGAAGAAAACAATTTGTCAGGCAGTGCAAATTACATTTCTCTCTCAAACTCTACTTCCTATAATTCTACATCTAAGTGAGTGCTTGATTCTTTGCATCTATTTGTTTCTATCTAGGTACATGAAAAAAAAAATTACTTTATATTACTACATTGTTATCATTATTACTATTAACAGTTGGTTGTCGTATGCAAAATAAAATAAATACATATTTTGTTTGTTCGTGTGTTTTAAATTTATGTCTAACGCTAACTTACAACTGAATTTATCGATAAAAAGTTAAAAGTATAAACTTATAATGTATATTTGTTCTTTAACTGTGGAATATTTTTATTATATTTTAACAACTTTAATATAAATATAAGTGTGTGTTAAGTTTAACTTATTTTTCGTTAAAATATGTTTTATTAGGGCTTTATTTATATTTACCTATATATTAAACTATTTTTTTCTATTTTTTTCTATATTTACATATTTTTATATATTTTGAATTCTTTAATTATAATTATTTGCTTTTAATTATATAAATTGTTAATAAAATTGAACCTATAAAAATTTTGTTTAGCGATACAGAGTTGTTTAAACCAATAGATCACCAACCTATGATCACAAAGCAGCCGAACACTGCGCTACTGTGCACTATCTTAGCACTGGGAACATTTTTCGTTGCCTATTACCTTCGGCATTTCAGGAATAGTAAATTTCTTGGAAGAAATGTGAGTGAATTTTCTATAATAAAATAAAATATGTTAATTAATTGTGCTTAAAGTATAAACTATAATAATTAATATTGACGAAATCTGTTCCATTTTACAATATCATGTTTCATTAATTGATTTTTACATAATATTGTATGGATCATACCGATCAAATTGTCTTATATACCTACAAATGATTATGTAAGTGTGAATATGGCTTTTTACTTGTTAATTTATCATCAAATAAATTGAATGAAACAAAATTAAGTAAAGAGGCTATGCATTTTAGGATAGGCAACATTAATGCCCCTTGCACTCACAACGGGGTTCGGAATTTGGGCAGTAAATTATTTAAGAGTCATGTAATGATTTCAGATTCGTAGAGCATTGGGTGATTTTGGAGTACCCATAGCCATCATATCAATGGTAGCCGCCGACTATTTCAATCCAACTACTTACACCGAAAAGCTCAAAGTTCCTGAAGGTTTGACACCTTCGGATCCGGCGGCACGTGGGTGGTTCATATCGCCCAGTGGGTTAAAGGGCCCCGTTGAACCTTGGGTGCCTTTCGCTGCAGTTGTGCCTGCCATACTCGTCTACATTCTCATGTTCATGGAAACCCACATCAGCGAGTACGTGCCCATACTAATTTTGACGAGCGTGCTAGTGCCAGTGAAATATGCCGTACATAACTGACCACTATATCGGTTCGCAGGTTGATAATTGCCAAAAAAGAACGCAAACTTCAGAAAGGCAGTGGCTTCCACTTGGATATTGTACTAGTTAATTTCATCAATTTGATGTGCGGCGTGATTGGCGCCCCATGGATGAGCGCCGCGACTGTCAGGTCCGTTGCTCACGTGTCATCGCTAACAGTGATGAGCCGAACTCACGCTCCCGGTCAAAAGCCTCATATCATCGAAGTAAAAGGTTCGTGCAAAATAATTTTATAGCAAACGAAAGCAGTTTAAGATTGTTTTACGACTTTTCTCCGCATATTTTGGCATTCCTTCGCCAAGTTAAGTCACGTCCAAATACATGAGGTTAAGATTACAACCAAATCACACACAGCCACAGGCTTGCTATACTGAAATAGTGTATTTAATATTTATATTTAACATACATGATACATTAGATACGTATCATTGTATCAATACGTAATAAATCTATGAATCGATAATCAATACAAGGTGCAATATAGTTTTAAAATGATGAAGGAAAAAACTTGCCTAAGTAAAAAGAAAAACATATCGAATTGGGTGTGTTTTTTGTTTTAAACCTATGCAAATTATAAAATATTTGGAGTAGGTAGATATTTACCTAAAATAGCAAAAATTTAAATGATTTAACGTCATCCATTCGTGACTACTGTATATATTATTATAATACAGATAAAGTATTACTGTATTAGTATTCAGCTCTGTTGTATTATTTAATGTGTTATTTTATTTGTTCTCATTTACATTTTTAAAATTGTATTATTAGAGCAAAGAGTCAGCTCTCTGTTAGTATCTATAATGGTTGGTTGTTCAGTGGTCATGTCTCCTTTACTGCGATTAATACCGATGGCTGTACTTTTTGGAGTCTTTCTGTACATGGGAATATCGTCTATCGACGGTATACAGTTTTTCGAACGCCTCAAATTGGTTTTCATGCCTGTGAAACATCATTCAGAAGCCCCGTACGTTCGCCATGTAAGTAAATTATTATATTATGTAAAAAATTGTATTTTCAATCAAATCATATGGATAATTTAATATAACTGTTAGGTACTTGTTAAAAAGGCGTCCTAGCCGCATGTGTTGTCTTTGCATAATATACCAATATGGCAATATGTATGCCCTGCAGTTCCAATTTTGTGGTATTGGTTTAAGTATTAGAGCGAATTGACCAACTATCAAAATTAAATGTTTAAACATTATGCATATCCTCTCGTTGTTTTTTTAAGATTTTTTTATTTTTAAGTGAATTATGAGTAATATTTAAAAAAACAACTAGAGAACAAACGTTGGGAACGATGTCCGTATCAGAAACATGTTTAGACTTTAGAGAAATTGAATAAATTAATGGAGCTTTACAAACGCCTTATTATATATTATAATTATGTATAAGGAAAAACACTCAAGTGCATACACTTATATTTATTCCAGCCTCCAGGTTCCTGGAACGTTTAAAAAATATTTTTGAAAACTAATTCTTTATATTGAAATAATTTTTACTTTGACTTCATATCTTAATTTAATAAATTATTAATGAATTTTCATGTTTGATTTCTCCAGGTACAAACATACAAAATGCATCTATTCACTGGAATTCAACTCGTATGCTTGTGTATTTTGTGGAGCGTTAAGTCGTCATCATATTCTTTGTTGTTTCCGTTTTTTTTAATCATGATGATTCCTGTGCGATCTCAACTATGTGATAAAATATTTACTACAAAAGAATTACGAGCAGTAAGTGGCAATGGATTAATTATTAAATTATTGTTTATGGATGTTATAATACTTGATTTGTTGTTCTTCAACTATAGCTGGACAGCAATGAGCCAACCAACATGTCTAATGACGAAGATGAACCCGACTTCTATGCTGAATCTCGACTACCGGGATAATTATATTTTATTGACTGTCTTAATACAATTTTTTCCTTTTTTTTTTTCTTAAAACTGTTGTTTTGTTTATTTAAATTTTGTGACAGTTAATTGACGTTCGGAAGCATACCTAATATGGGTTGGAAGAATAGCGCATATTCGACTTAAGGTTCACAACTGAAATTTATACATAAATCGTATAAACATTTTACATATCCACGATCTTTCAAAATATTTTACTACTATCCATCTATCATTAATATTATTGATTTAAATAATATGATATACAAGTATACAGTAAATTATTTAAAAACATTTGCATAATAGCTTAAAAATGGTTTAAATTCTATCGATCTTATTAGGATATATTATATGATATAATGTAGGATATATTCATTTGTCATGGTAATAATTAATTGTTATTTCTTAATGTAAGAAATTAGGAGATTTTTTTATGAAAATATTTTGCATTAACCTAACACAAATATAACTGTTACTCTTACTGGCCCATAGTAAAATCTAAAAATCAATTGATAAAGCTTTAAGTCTTCTCCTCTACCTATTGCTGAAGTCAATGGGTTTGCTCATTTTGTTTCCAAAAGTTTGTTTCCCATACATTCCAGCTAGCAATAATCAATGATATATTTGTGTATATCGATAACGTCGGATCACTAATTCATGTTTTGTCACTGTTAACATAATATTTATTCACATATTATTTTATGTCAAATGAATAGACGTATAACACATGGATCTGAAATGTTGTACAATAATATTATTGCTGAATCCTATTATTTTTGTATTTGTGGTGCAATATAATTAAGCTTAAATTGAATATATGTAGTTTAAATAAAGTTTATGAGTAATAATAATAGTAATAGTAAATGTACTCATTAAAAATCTGTTATAATCGTTGAATTGTATTATTATTAATGTTATTGTATTTGAATTATTATATTATGCATATTTATATGCAAATACCTAATTATGAATTAAGTTTAAAAAATTTCAGTATTTTTATTTTCATTATGATACTTCTAGACTAAAATAAAACGTTTGCAGGTTATTGTATGTACGGTACTATGTGTTGTTTATATTTAATTGGATTGTTGAATATTTTTTCGAAATATATTTGTTTTTAAATTTTAGTTTTGTAAATTATAACATGAATATGGATTAATGTATGTTACCTATTGGCAATTGTATTATAAATACCTTATTTTTCTAGTAATTATATCTTATTGAAAATTTGTGTTTGAAACCAATAAAAAGGTATAAAATGTTAAAGGTTAAATGTATTATCTTATTAGTAATACGAATTAACTATACCTATCATATCTATACTATTTACCTTATACGCATATTTATTATGAGTTCTAACCATGCTGTCGCTGGTAACTTGTTAAATTTGTTTGGTTTTATCTATACCTAGTATTTATTATAAATTTGTACTGATACTTTCTTTAAGTATCTATAATGTATTACTGTATTAGTTTATAATATATATTATATTGTATATTTGTGTAAAATAATATTTAGTAAAAAAAAGTCACATCATTTATACACACCTACACCAACCGGTATAAGTCATAAGGTATTATTAAAAATAAATCTATGTTCAAATAGATATAAATTCCATTTTTACAGAATTCAAGTTAGTGTAGAATTTTATAATACAATGGATAGACCTACTCGTGCGTAATGGAATGTCCACCACTATCAGACTGAAAAAATCTCTATGATTATTAAAATAAAAAGATCTAATCAAATACAATCAATATTACATAACTGAGTGAATAAATAAAACTAGTACCTTTGAGGTCAGAGAGGGGGTATTTAACCTCTTCTTGATGGATTTTTTTTATTTTATAGAAACGTTTCCAAGTTTTTATATTAAAACATCAAATATTGAAAAATATAATTTTTTGATATAAGCTTTCCACCCCAATTGCTGTGTATGCCACTGACCTTACAGGCACCTAAAACAATTTTCCAATCATATAATTATCAACATATATCCTTATTCTTTTTTGTTACCTATTTGATTAATATTGTTTACTATTGTCTAACTGTGGTGGTTCTAGTTAGTTAAAAAATATATCATTTTTACTTTTTAGATGTTTCTCTGTGTACATAGTGAGACTTGAGCCATACTGATTTATATTTTGTAAAAACCTTAAGATGTGTGACATATTATTTTCTAAAACTTGATTGAGATGTTTTACAAAAAATTAATTTCTTACTTAGTTATTAGTAATAGCTTATTAGTTATTGCTAAACAAAATATTTGAATGCCCATATTATAAACATTTTTACTTTTTTGTATAGTATATCTAAGATGGAAATTTGTATTTCAAAAAACGCCTCAATTAAGTTTTGAAGAGATGTCAAGCTGTATTAAGTATTTTAAAGAATTAAAATTGAAATGGTTAAAGTCTCTCAAGCATTTTTGGGTATAAAAAGTGATTTGGTAATATTAGTTAATATCATTACTAGTATGCACCCGTAATTGCATTATTTTAACATTTCCACGTGTACTCGGGAAATGATACAAGTAGCGGGTGTGAGTAACATTGTGTCATTTATTTTGCAAACTTGATCAAATTCTATTGTAAGAGCATGATAAATTGCATACACAATCCTCCTTAGAAAATAACACACTAGTACCATAATATAATATAAAATCATAATTCAGCTCTTTGAAGGACATTATTAATCTATAAATAAATATTTTTACTTATTTTAGGTACCTACTACCTTCAACTTATACATATGTTATTGTTTATAAGCATTCTCAATTTGCCTAGGTAACTATTTCAGTTTTCATTAAAACAAAATCAAAGCTCATGAAACATTAAGCATTTGATTTCCTTAATGAATAATAGATGAGTTAACTTATCCCCAAAATGATATTAAATACAGATTACTTATTAAAAATATATTTTAGTTATTAACAGACTTCGCTTTGGTCACAGCAGAATCACTCACGGTTTCCTGATGGCCAGAGAGGAGCACCCCATTTGTCAAACCTGTGTAACCATCAAATACTTAATAGCTGACCGTTTAAGCCTTTAAGGTACAACCAAGAATGGGTCAAGCACAAGATATCTTTTAACTTCTAGACATCGCACTAGGACCCAATCAAAATAAAAACCTAGATATAATTAATTTTATGAAACAAATAAAATTATTAAAACTTATACAAAAAAATATATAAATATCTACATTTTTGTTATTCCCTTTAAATGCTACTTATAGAATTACAACTATTAATTTTACTTACAAGTAATTTATAGTTTATTCTTATGTATTTGTAATATAATGACACATAACAATTTATATACTTCTTCATTATAATGATAATCAATACTAATTGTATTTTATTGAATCGAAGGTGATTATTAGTGATTATTTTAATGGAATGTTAAAATCTACTTTATCAAATAATATTGATGATACCTACAAAAATAAAACTTAGTTATGTTTATAATTTATTATGTACACAAATATATTCTTATAGAAGTATGAAATAATTAATATTTTTAGTAAATTTAGTGATTTGTAAATACGTTAATTATTGAAAGACTTTTTAACTGAATTCATAGTATATGAATAATTGTGAGTGTATTAATTTTATTCTACTTGACGAGTAAACACATCAGCCAGATATTAAAGTAGATGCCTACCTATCTATATAGGAATGTTTTTAACATTATTACAAGTAGGTATAAGCATTTTAAGCACTTTAATCATCAAATGTATATCCAAGTAGAGAATATTGCAAAGTATCTATATAAAAATCAGATACAATTATCGGTCGTATGAAATAAAAATAATTTAATACTCATATTATGTAAGTATTTCAGGGAATTTGTTATCTTAAGTATGTTACACTTAAAAAGCTTAAACTTAGAGCATTCATATATCCTTAGAAATGTAGCATATTTTATATTATTAATTAAAATTATTCATAATCATATATAAGTAGGTATGTACTATGTGCATTGTGCATATTTATACACAGTAGGTAGGTAGTAAATAGTATTATAGGTTGGTATTATTATTTTGAGACTAGTAAATTGTGACCAATAAACTCAATTAGTCAAAATGTACTATAATGGTCTATGAAAATTACTTTAGTCAATTTATGGTGAAAACTCGCAGTCGAACTTCATTCCACAATAATCAATATCAAAGTTGATTATTGATATAGATTGATGTTATGTTGTGTTTAATATATTATCGCGATAGAATATATTATTTATGTTAAAAATTTAAAAAGTCTGTTAACACAATATATTTTTTTTTATAGACATTTAAGTTCAAATTTTTAAGAATAATGATTTAAGTTATTTTGTTGTAATTTAAAAATATTATTCATGGATATTTCAATTTTTTTGATATAAATCAGAATTTTTGGCCCTCAGTACTTGGTTTCAAAGTCAATGCAATTTAAATTTAATTAGTCCTCTAATTTTAATTATTTTTAAAATTTTTTGGACTGTGTATAATTGATAAGAGGTTGGAAACATAATGTAATCACGTTAGTGGTTCAAAGAGTTTTAATTAATTGATTCTTTAAAATAAAAAACATCTAAATTCTAAAAATTGAAGTTTAGAAAATCAGAACATTCTGTTTTTAAAATGAAAAAATGTATCAATATTGCATTATAGGTAGGTTCCTAAATTAAATAACTATATAAATGCATGTAAAAATGTAAAATATGATCTAATCTGTGATCGATGGTTATTTAAACACATGATTTTTCTAATTGTAAACAAGACGTGTAGGTAATCCACATTAAAATATTCGGTTTTTATACATAAATTATGTACCTAACATAATAAACGTATTTATTTTTAATTCATAGAAATTGTTTTTTAAATGCGTTCTTTTTTCTAGGTTAATTATTGTCTACTAACTACTAAGTTAATATTTTAACAGGTGTAAACTCATGTATTCATAATTTAGGTGTCAACAATAACAATAGAAAAACAAATTGCAGTAAGTTATTGTTAAAAACGTTGATGTTTATTGTTAAACATGTATAGGTACTGTGCTTTAAATAATTTTACAGTAAAACTGAGATTTAAAAAGAATGTACCTTTGTAGAATTTACATTTAGGTAAAAAATTAAACTTAAATTAACTAGGTACCTAATTTATAAAGACCTAACAACTCTTGCTTCCGAACAAAAGAAACGAAAATTAATTTAAATATAAAATGATTAAAACGTAGGTTATTGTCTTTTTCTTTCTCTCTTCATCCCACATACAAGTCTTGACAATAGTCGGCCATCATAATATTCATAAAATATATATTTATAAAAAAAATTATTTGTTTAGTTTTTTAACCATGAAGAAATATTGTAACATTCGTAATAAGACGAATTCCGTGTAACCTCAATAATATTGTTCTATGAGATTCGACCACGATTAAAGATATTTAATCGTGGATTCGACTATTTGTACTGATAACATGATTACATGAATAATGATAAATAATTACTCGACCCCTAGCACGGACTAAGGTATCTTAGTCCGTGACCCCTAGGTAATTTCATTCCTCCTTCTACCAGTTCTACCACCACTCATCACAGTACCGGGTAAAAGGCATTGGGTATATTTAGTTATAGTTAAAGGCTGTAAAATAGTTCCAAAATTATGAGAAACGCGTGGAAGCGCTTAGAAATAAAAAATGAAAAGTATGAAAAAAAAAAACGATTTGTTTTTATTTATAGAGTAATTTAAATCGTAAAAATCATGAACATTTGTAATTTATTTTGAGTTAGCAATTTGTACACATTTTTATATTTATGTCTAAGATTTGAAAATTCAATACAAGATTGCCCATGACCCATACATTTAAACTACGACTAACAAAAAAAAAAAAAATAGTTTTCCGGAGAGTCAAATTAATTTTTTTATGAGCGTTTAAAGTTCAATTTTTTTCAACATTGGATACTCACTCATAAATTATTAACGAATTCTCATCGAAGGAGTTTCTTATTTTGTTGCAACTTAAAACGAATGACCGTAAAATACTTGAAATTTTCACCGCGTGCTTATTTTATAATTTTCTATAAACAATAACATTTTCAAAATGTTTTGAGTCGTTTTGAAATATTTACAGGTAGACGGGTAGTCATAGTCTTGGCCAATTTTGTGAAAATTTAAAATTGATCTTTGAAAAACCAGGAAAGTTAAGAGGGTGGTAGATTGTCTATCTCGGCGACAGCAAAAACAACAACAAAAAAAAAATAATAAGAAAAACGGGAATTTTTAAGCAAAACCAGTTTTCGAAAAAATCGATTTTAGTTTTTAGCGTAATCCTAAATAAATAATAATAACTCTTTTGTCAAGCCTCTATTATCTGTATAATTTTATCTGTATTATCTGTATTAATTGTTGAGCTATTATAGTTTTTTACTAAAAGCTAATGAATTCAAAAAAAAAACCTTTTGTCATGTTTTAAGCTGTTGACGGACATTTTCAATTTTCATATTTTTTGTTTTTTTTCTATGAATGGCAATAAAATTGTATTTGTCTGGTCAAAAAGCGTGAAAATGTAATAAAAGGCTTCTTATATGTTGTTATAAATGTAATGAAAATACATAGTTAAGTTTTTGTTTTATAATATTATTTTAAGTTCAAATTTTGACAACATTTCTCAAATTGAAAATTGAAAAAACAGTTTTGTAGTTTAAAATGTATTAAATGTTCAACATCTACAGCTAAGGATTGAAAATTTAAAACAAGTTTCTACGTAAGTAGTTAATTCTGTAATCAAACAATCTAAATATAAACATAGGTAAACATAGCTTTTTTATAGTTATTTTAATTTTAAATTTAGACGAAATTCATATTAATATATCGAAACATAGAATAACGATTTTAATAATTTCATTGTTATTCGGTTCCAAAACAGCCCAATTTTACATAAGTATTTTAATATTTTTCCAGCATCACTGATAATTTAAGAATAATATTGATTCAACTTACTGGCTATCGTATTAATAATAAGTAATAACAATAGAAAATATCCTAAATGACATTCCGTTTCCGCTTAGAATCATTTTTCGTGTACAATAATATTATTTCATTGAATTCAAATTTAATACTATCCATTACAGCGATCTTCTAGACAGACACCTAATGTTCAACAGAGGGACATCCACTTTTTTACTTATATTTTTTAGGAATAATTATGGCTAATTGGCTAAAGCATAGTGGTTCTATTTAAAAAAAAAATCAAGCCATGCCCAAAGGGGTTGTGCCAATCATTTCCCTTAAACTGGTTATTTGTAACAAGGTATAATCTTAACTTTTTGAAGATCAGATTCTTCGGTAAGCACGGACGTAGGTAGTGTATCGTAGTAATAATTCAATGGCAATATGATAATAACTAATAAGTGACGTATTGCGCGGACTTGAACCAAATCTGGAATCTTAAGATCATACCATTTTGTTATATCATAGTAAAATAAATAGGTATTAAATGGTATTTATTTTACTATGGTTTATATCATGCCGGAAACGAAAGCCTAATCAGTAATCAGTGATCACCGGTTCGGTTAAGGGGATTCGATACCGTCATTTTCTGTTTTTGTCTAACACACGCGTGACATAGTAATTTAGACGTGTTTTTTGCCAAATATACCAATTGATCTTATGAAGCGATAAGAATTCTAAAAACAGATTTGAATTTGTAGTCAAGTCTACTTGAAATCGACTTTCCCACATTTATGATTTTTTGAATTTAACTTCTCCGAAAATTGAAATACAAACATTTTTAAATGCTCTTTTTTAATATGACATTTTTAGGAATTTGGGAGATAATATCAAAAATGTGGGAAAGTCGATTTTAAGTAGACTTAACGACAAATTCAAATCTGTTTTCAGATTTATTATCACTTCATTGGATCAATTGGTATGTTTGGCAAAAAACACGTCTAAATTACCTACTATGTCACGCGTGTGTTAGACAAAAACAGCAAATGGCGGTATCGAATCCCCTTAAGGTAAAGAGTAGGCTATGGGAGGGGGGAATGGATGCGAGTGCGAATCTAGTACTACACTCTTACCTATATCACAAAATAAATGAAATTTAATTTATTCTGTGCCTATAATATTCATTATCTAGTTTATACAATGAATATAGGTAGCGCTAGATTCTGTAACCTTAAGCGGCCCGGCTTCCCGTCACCCTACCGCGAACACCTGTTCGTATAAAGTCCATTCCAGAGGGCCTTAATAATTAATATATAGTATCTAGATTCTAGGCTCTCTCCTCTCTAGTCCATTCTATCCGTGATTTACGTAGACCTATAGGAAAAGTCTATGGAGATTTCTTCTGTGATATTATTACAGACTTCTTTCTATAACCCTACATTCCTAGTTCCCACACTATTTAAAATGTGTTGTTACGAATTACTATTGGCGTGTTATCAGTGGTAGTTTGGTGATTGGCCTGTGGTGTTTGGCGAAAGATAGATAACAACATTGTGATAATGTGATAAGTTTATCAATTATCAATATTCATTAATCGAAATTAAAAATAGTCAAAAATCAAAATAGATACAGAATACGGCATTATACGCGATACTAAATTTGCATGTCGTATCACAGATTACAGATATCGTATCATTCATAATCTATTCTGACATTCAGTTTCAGTTTCAATATTCAGTATATTAATTTTCAGTTATCACTGTTGTAGACCAGTGGCGTAGTGGTAGTCAGAATTTTGCTTTGTTTGTGGGGGGTGGGAGGGGTGGGTGAGCGGTCTGATCATTTGTCAAATTACGTATAGGGATCCAGGGGAGGCTTAACTCGGATCCTCTGGGCTCTGACCCTTATAAGTCTGGTACGCTGGTGCAGTGGTGTCGTGAGTTTGACATTTTAGACTTTAGAAGTAACTTTCATACAAATTTTATTTTTTTAATTGTTGGCTACGTATTATGTTATACGTTCATACTTTCATAGCGCACTGAAACCATTTTTAATTTCCCAGCTGATGCAGTGTGTCAATGTGAGGACGATTATTGTACTATTATAATAAAGATGTTTATAATCGTACTTGTGAGAAAGTGGCACCTGATTAATGTTATTGGATGATAGTCGTATTATTTCGTTATCGCAATCGTCTGTTCAGCTAGCATCCAACGAACACTTGAGTACAATTCTACAAAACATAACGATGATTAATAATAATTTAATGTTTTTAGTAATTACATTCTACAGTGACTAATCGATCGTTATAAGCCTGTAGAGTTGTGGGCGGTGGAAGAAGAGACGAAAACGATCGCGATTGACGTCGTATTACGCCGCTCGGCAAGGCGACGGTCAGTCCCGTCGACCGTCGCTCAGTTTAGCCGTGTCGCTCGCGCGTTTCGGTCACTGGTCAGTCTGGTTTCTGGCTTTCTGCTCAGGTGAAGCGGATAGACATTCACGAACAGCGGTCGACAGTCGACAGTGGTTGACAGATAGTAGGTACGTATACACACAGGCGGACAGTCAGTCACTGTCCAGTCCTGCCCGCTACCGCAGTTAGTACCCATACGTTACTACTTACTCCAGACGTGTCCACTACCACCGTCCGAGACGGTTACGAGTTTATGACTTCACAATCCGTCGCGTCCGGTGACGTATGAGTTCAACGGTTGTTTCATTGTATGCGCGTTATTTGTGTTGCCGATAAGTTATCGACGACGACGTCATCCAAAAGCGATAATATTTTATATTGTTCCTGCTGTTAGAGTATAATACTTATTTTAATTAACCGAAAAATAGCTAGGTAACTGCAATGTTGATGGCGTTGACATAGGTAGTGCACTATTATTAATATTAATTTGCGGGTTTATATTCCCCTCATAATCCCATCCACATTACTCAATCGTCTCAGGTGCATCTAACCTAAGTCATTTTCTTAGAAAATCTGTTGTCTCCCTCACATCCACTAAAAACGACATGTCCCTTTCGGATTTAGGAGAGTGCAGCTTATACACACCTCAACTACATCCGCTGTAGTTTTTGGATCTTTCTTATATTTTTTTCTTTCTAGTCGATCGATTCATCAGAACACGATGTTGATATGGTGTAACGGCCATGTCTTGGTCGTCTTGATCGTAGCAGCACTCGGTGCTGCGCCGGTATGCACAGAACTTATTGGCCTGTACGAAGACACTGATATGGTTGAAATATTGGACAGGACTAATTTTAATGACAAAGTATTGCAAGGAAATACATCATACGTGATTGAGTTTTACAATGCCTTCTGTGGACATTGTATACGGTTCTCAACCCCTTGGAAAGAATTTGGAATTCAAGTCTACGGTAACAAACTGTTGATTAAACATATTAGTATAGGTTTTATGAACACCAGCTGAAATATTTGGAACCATTAACTGTGATATTATTTAAATAACTATTCCCATAATAGGTAATAAGAACCTGCTACTTTATACTCGACTGTACCTTCTTCAATTTGAAAATAAAAATGCAAGTAAACCATGTGATCTTTTTTATATTTTTCTTATATTTAAACTGATGTATAAACATTCATAAATATTACATTTTTATAATAATATAGGCAGGCACTTGCTTAATTAGAAATGTAAATCATTTTAGGTTTAAGTTAAGAATTCTACCATACACATTAAAATTTATATTGTATTATGGTATACTAATTTACTATAGAAAATTGCAAACCATTGTAATTATGTCTTATACAATTCATATTATTTCTCGCCTTCAATCATTTATTTCTATTACGCATGTTTATCAATGATAAAACCTTTGTAAAATAATTAAAAACCATGAGCTATAACATTTTGATGACTTATTAAAAAAATGTTTTAATTATATTTTAATGTTTAAATGTTATATGTTTAGTAATTTATGTTATAGTATCATTAAACTAATAATAATGTCAGATAACATTAAATAAAATAGCTACAAAAATATGTGGTAGAAGTTTATACCACAGCTCATAAGTAGTAAAAGTATTAGCCACTTGGATTACAGCATATACCTATTATTATGATTGATGGTTCATATTTTGAGGAAAATCAAACAAAATTTCTATTTTATACTATTTCATCAACCATACAATTTTAGTCAGATTTTTAGTTACTGGCATTTAACATCACAAATTTAAATTAAAATATATAGGTTATAAGTAGGTAGGTACTTATTAATAATTGTTGTACTTAAAATTAAATATATTTTATTTACCAAATTTAATTTATGTATTCAGTTATTAAAATATATCAACCAAATCAGTTGTTAACATTTTTTAAGCATCTTTAAATCGTAGGTACCTATATTTAAATAAAAAAAATTAAATTTTAAAAAGACTATTCTAATCACAATTATAATATAATACTTACCTACACTCGAGTACTTTTTTACTGTTGGTCCTTTTTTTTTTTGACCATAATATTATTACAAAATATTTATGATAATTTTTTTTTTTACAAGACTCATCAATGTGATATTTCATCAGATAATTTTCATTTTCCCATATAGTTATTAAGTAATTCCCCTGGTAATTACATATCTTTTTTTTTAAACTTATTTTATTAATAAGGTACCAATTACATAGATAACATGGTTAGACAAACTATTGTATGTTATGACCTCAGCTATGTCTATAGCTATAGTTATTTCTTATTACTCATGATCAAATATTATTCAGATAGTTAACAATATAGAATAGATCACGTTTAAGGTAGTTTTTATCCTTAATAATGTATATGTATTCATTTTTATTTAATTTATATTTTATATAATATTATGTCTACCTTTCGTAGCCCTAGTACACACATGTATACTTTCTAAACAAAAGATTGACCTAATTCAAACTTTTAAGAGTAGTTACCAATTAATATTTTATTTACATTCTATTTTAATATACACTAATTACAGTTAAACTTTCTTATAAGAGACATTCACGGGACCATCAATAGTGTTCATTATAGAAACGTTTCTGGTCATGCCTATCTCTTTGCCGGAACCTTGTAATTTTGTCCATTATATACAGGTGTTCAAATTATATTTGTATAGATAAATAATATATATATTGAATATATTTATATTTTTGTTGGTATTAGTGATTTAAAATATATTTTATTTAAACATTTTATTAATAGGTTTGAAAATAGACTATACAAAAAATTTGTAAATTGTCTAATTTTATATTACTCATTGTCCACAAATGATTTTACTAATGGTTGACTGTTATCTAATCTAACTGAGATTTTTGTTGCTAAATACATTTGCATGTACTTATAAATAATTATTTGTAACTATATATTATTGTTATTTTTTTAATTAGGTTTTATGATTTACAGGGTGGAAAAATTATGTGAAAGTTGGTGTAATTGACTGTTCAAACGAAATAAACAGTCAAGTATGCCGAGATTATGAAGTCATGGCCTATCCCACCGTACGCTACTTTCCTCCCCGGCCAGCATTAAGTAATATTGGAAAAGATTTTATTAGATCTTTTAATGTACAAATTATGAAGGATTCTCTCATTAAGATGCTTCAAGAAACTCAAATTAGCACGAATGTATCAACTTTGTGTGATATACAACCCTTTGAAAATGTCAATGTAGAATTGGATTCAAATAATATTTTGACATTTATTATAATTAGTACACCAAGTAATACGCTTGCTCAAGAACTTATTATTGATTTCTGTCCTGTCAAAAAAGTTAAAATAATAAGCGTACTAAACTCTAACACAGAACTGGCCAAATTGTTAAAACCAGAAACATATCCAAGTCTCTATCTTGTTAAAGTTAATAACCAGTTCACACTTTTAGCAAGTGGAAATAACAAAACAAATTTTACCAATACTGTTAATATATATTTGGAAACGGTGCACATGACACCATTCAGTGTAATTGATATTACTACTACGCTTTATAATTTATTATTCCATAAAGACAAAGGTTCGATTCATAAGGACAACACAGTTTATTTGTCAGATTTAGAAGCTACTCTAAGGTATTCTCTGGAGCACGAGATTCTATCACGAAGTGTTATTTCTGGTGAGTCATTAAATGCATTAAATAGTTATTTAGAACTTCTTATTGAATGTTTCCCTTCTAGCATTAGAGGTAAACAATTCATTAAGTTAATATGGGAAAATACACGATTCAACAAAACAGTGTCAGGAGAGAAGCTTGGAAATCTTATTAACAACTATGAATTTTTGTTAAAACCTTATGTTACTAAACATAGTTGGATAGGATGTGAAGGTAGCCTCCCAATGTATAGGAAATATCCATGTGGTTTATGGACTATGTTTCACACACTTGCAGCTCAAGCATCTACAAAGAACTTGACAAATTTTAATGGAAAACAAGTTTTGGAAACTATTGCTGGTTATGTCAAACATTTCTTTGGTTGTACAGATTGTTCTGAACATTTCATGAATATGGCCACCACAATTGAAACTAATGTTTCATCATTAGATGATGCAGTGCTGTGGCTTTGGTCAGCTCATAATCAAGTGAACCAAAGACTTATGGGTGATGTTACTGAAGATCCATTGCATCCTAAAGTATTATTTCCATTGAAAGTGCATTGTGAAGCATGTCACCAAAGTGGAACTAATGAGTGGAATAAAATTGAAGTGCTAAAATATTTGAAAAATATGTATTCAGCTATTAGTCTTCAAAAGACACCATTTGATAATATTCGTTCTCAACATGATAATTTGATAGTCTCAGTTAAACGATCCATTATTGATGATAGTAATTATAATAATAATGTGTTTGATGAAGAAGAGTGGAAGATTGATGTTAGTACTTGTATGATATCATATATTTTATCATGTAGTGTGTTAATGATATTATTTTATTTACTGTTGGTGAAGAAACGATGTAAAAAAAATAAATGTATTTATTTTATACTGGGTAAATAGTTTGATTGTTATTATAACTTTAATGTGTTTTGTTTTTTATTAAATTAAATTATAATTTTTTTAAATTAAGATATCATATATTTTATATTACTAATTTACAAATTTAAAAATAATTTAAGTATAAGACTGTGTTATTTAATAAATTCATACAGATTTTAATATGTACAAGAAATTTATTTTTACTTGATCACATTTTGAATATGATATTGTAATGTTACCTACCTACATATTATTAAGTTTAATATTATGAGTAATTCATTAATGCAATAGTTATTAAGTATGCAATTTGCAAATTTTAAACCGTTGATTGTTTTGGAAGATTGTATTGCAAAAAAATTATTGTTTATTAAACAGTATAGGAATTTAGTTTTGTACATTCTTTATTAAACTTTCAAATGACAAGTTTGAATTTTTTTTGAAAATATTACTTTTAGCATTTAGATGATAATTTTTAACACTTAAAACATATTTTGTGTTATAATTTGATAACATGCAACTTTAATATAAAATCAAAAAATAGTACAACGATACAATGATGAATGTTAAATTTGTTTGTTAGTAAACACCAAAAGTTAAAGAAATTTCACTTCAACGTATTGGAGGTGTTTAGATCAATTTGTTAAAAATTGTTATTTATTTTATAATAATTGGAATAAATTAACAAAGAAGTAAAGGTAAAGAGAAATTATAAAAAAAAACTTAAGAGGACTTTATACTCGCATGTGTTGTCTCTGTCTTACAAGAGCGTAACATTTAAATTTTACATTCAGCAGATCACGTTTAGCTCAGTTAGTTTAAAAATTAAGAGTGAAATGACCTCTTACTAAAATTAAAGGTAAGATTATTACGGAGGTCTTCTCATGGGCTTTTTATCATATTTTAATTTTAAAGATAGTTATGAGTATTTTAAGTTAGAAATTTATAAACATTTTTCCTAACCTAAGATTTTAAAATTTAATACAAGATTCCTTATAAGTTTGTCTACCTGTATCAAAAACAAAAATTTATACTGGAAAGTCAATTAAAATTGAAATCATCGTTTGAAGTTGAAATTTTTACAACATTGGATATTTACTCGATTTCTCATAATATGAGAACTTACTGTGCAGCAAAGCGATATCCACTCATCCGTTTTAAAAAAAATTTATTTTGATATAAATATTTGTCAAAATAGGTTGGACATTTAAAATAGGTTTCTCGTTAAATATTATTATGCTGGTATAAAAATGTCAACAATTGAAGTCTCGTGTAGGTTAAAATTTTGACAACATGGGATAATTTTAAATGTAAAATACTAAAATGATGAATTTTTTTAAAATTATTTTATCTATTTTGTGTAGTGTCAAATAGTAAAATAGTTTCATAAAAAATATAATATAATACCTAGTTTGTAATACGTTTTGCCTTAGCCTTTAATGCTTTATATATTATGGGGTGGTGGCAATAGTTCTGGGTCAATCTACTGACAATTAAAATTCCGACAGACAGGGGTAAATTGGGATGCATTTTGAAATCGGAATATCTCAAAAAGTCCGAGATGAATTTTTTGTGGGTCTTTTAATAAATAATATTACATGAAATTAATGACATAACTCTTCTTGTAAAATTATATTTCATAATACCTACCTATACCTACATATGTCACGGTGGCCTATCGCAGCTAAAATAATCTAAGTTAAAAAAAACCCCAGTAAAAAAAATTGATAAAGTAACCTGTTCTTTTCATTTCAAATTTGGTTAGTACTATTTGACGTACTTATCATGGCATCAATTATTAATACGAATATTTCAATATTTGTTCTAAGTATAACGTTACGTCGTTACCTATATAATATATTTTATATGGGAGAGATAATTATGATTATTAACCATCATTATTTATTGAATTGTTCCACAGAGAATCGCAGTTTTTTTAGGAAATTTCGATCCCTAATATTCATTTTTCAGATGTACCATAGCGTCCATAGCCCTTGATACTTGAGCACCTTCATTCCAATCACGTTAACACGGATTATACAACATATTTCCGAGGATAAAAAATAAGGCAATATCATAACATTAATCTAAATACCTATTTTAAAGATGCAATTGTATTTATAAAATACAAAAATAAACTTAAACGTTTCAAGGCCTAGCAAATAATATTTTTGAATTACAACAAAATTAATAAATAGCCCTTCTTTGTTTAAGTATCTAATTTCTTCCAAATTTGAACTTCAAATGCTTATAAAAAAATCATTATAATGTATATTTTTAATGTATTTTTAAATAATTTTATAACAAACAAATAGTTAACAATTATTTTCTTATTATTTTTTGTTATATTAGAAAAAAAAAAGTAAATAGCTCAAAAAGATTCAAAATATTTTGGAAATTATTTGATGGTTAAGAAAATTAAATACACCTAAACATTTTAAGAGAATTTAATGGGCTTATGGTTGATAATTAAAAAGTAATTTTTGAATTACAACCAAATATACAAAATTGGTACATAATTGGTAGTATAATTAATCTAATCGGTCGGGGGCAAAAAAACTCCAGTTATAGAATATATTGAAACGCTGATTATTTAATCAATTTTAACATACAGTTTTTCAAAAAAAAGTATGCTCAAGACTAGGTGTCCTTTGTCAGGTATAATTTAACCAAATAAGGTGTATTTATCAGGTATTAGGTATGAATAGCAGTTGTAAAAAATAAATAAAATGTCAAATTTTTTATAATTTATAATGTTGTTGAAGGCGTGTTTTAAATTCTAAAAGGACTTACCTATGTATAAAAATATAAAATACGTAAATTCAGCCAACCGCTATCCGTATATCCGTCGCGTTAAGAAAATATTTGAGTTATAATAATTAGGGCGTATGGGAAAAGACAGTTATTGGAATTGAATAAAAAACAATTATATTGGAATTAAAGTTACCATTAATAATAATTACTGTTCTCTTAGTAGTAGCTACTATTGTGGTACATTAAAGAAAAAGTGAGATGACCAAGTGTCTTAACTCCTAAGGTCCCTTTAATGTCAATTAAAAGTTCATCTAATAAGGTTCTCAAAAGTTTAAGATATCGATAAAAATATTGAAATAAATTTAATGACATTAAAATGTGACTAAGAAAAGTTTGAATATGTTTGCCAAAAGTTTGGGCAAGTTCAGATAGCAATTAATTAGATTAGAAGCCATCCTTAATTTGATATCACTTACTCCTAGTTCATCCGACACTGCCCCGTAGACACTACAGCACCACATTTTCATACAGTCTATAATTTTTGAACTTACTCTTTCTTTACCCGAGCCAGGTCCATCTATTATATCATTTTACTGGAGAATCCGTTTGAAACTATGACAACGGATATCTCGTTCAACCCATTTCCTTTTGAATCAAATGAAGTAAGAATACCAGCTCCGAACTAACAGCAAATGGTTATCAAATAAAGGGCCTGTTCTAAATATAAGGACCTTATTCTTAATCGAAGCTGGAAATATTCCACCTTCATCTTGGTAGCTATTATAGTTGGTAAATACTAACATTTTTTATTGCTACATACCAATTTATATTTACCGGTATTAAAAGTTTAATACAATATTACAACATATTAAAATAATTGTTGGCAACGTTGGTTACTAAAAACTTAGAAAGTCTTCGCTCAAAATCTTTTTTCGTCAAGTATAATATCATTGTATTCGAATTTAATTCATAAAATACAGTGTTTACTATTATGAGGTAAAATCAACTCTTATTGTTCGGCAGAACGATTACCAACTTCTCCCCTCTTTTTTAAATTAATATCTACCATGTACGTAAATTGCACTTATCATATAGGTAATTGAATTACTAATCAGTTATTTTAAATACTTAAATAAAAAATATTAAAAATATTATTTAAATAATTATTTCAATTTGGGTACCATTATGCTCATACTGTACAATTATAGTAATAATTAGCGGCCATTTTTTTGGAGGAAGATAATATTGTTATATTATATGCGTACCTATATAATACTGGATAATTTTTTAAGTATGCTCACCTCCCTCTTTTTTTAATGGTACATTTATTCAAATTCTGATTTACAGATTTTTTAAGTACCTTGACCTAAAGACCATATTTTCGAATTCTTGTTCTAATTAAGGAGTATCATGTGGTGATACAAACTTCTATTTTTCAAATGAGAACCCCCCTGTGGCCTGTTTACTAAAAATTATTTAGCGGATAATTCTTTTTGAAAATGTTGATGTATCGAAATCAAAATTCTAATGCGTAGTTTCTGAGTCATTAAAATGTTTATAAAAGGATAATAATTCTTACAAATTATTTATATTGGAAAAATCTACCTATCTACTCAATACATTACCATAGGTATAATATTATTCTCACAACACAAAGTTACATAACTCAAAAACTACTAGCATGAATTTTGATTTAGACACATACAAATTCTCAAAAAAAAAATATCTGATTAATAATTAACAGCGAAAAAGGGAGGTTCCTACTTCTCATATAATTCCTTATCAGTGTCCGATCAAATTTATTTATGCTGTGGTAGATATTGACTTGAATACCTTAAAGATGGAAATATAACAGGTATTTTTAGTGACGCCCATTCCATGCAACAACCTGCGATACACTTGGTGAATTTATACATTATTGTCACTTGTCAGCGAACATCACATCTACCAATCGCGTGTTCAAGTGTGTTTAGTAAATTAAATAAATAACATGTTAATAAATTATATAATACGGTTAATGTAATAAATATTTGAAACAACAACCTATAATATTAATTTGCAGTTGAGTAAATATGTTGTCTATTTTACTACCTATCTATAAATGTATTATGATATATTTGTATAAATAGAATAACTATTATTCATGCATATTTTTTAATTTGTTAAGTTTATATGATATCTTTGAAGTACCGATGACTTAAAAAAACATAATTCCTGAAAAGGTGTAGGTACCAGGACAAGTATCGGTGATCATACACACGTTTTAATGA